AGGAACTTGAAGCAAGTGCGGATCGAGAATAGCTCCCCAGCGGCGCCGCTGGGCATGGTGGGGGGTGGTGGCGGCGGTGGCAACTTGAAGGGATTGCGGGGCCTAGAAACAGAGAGTGAGGCAACGGCGGCCATGGCGCTAGTGCCGAGCAAAGAAGGTGGAGATGAAGAGCAGGAGGTTGGGTTCACTATCGATATCAAAAGCTTTCTTAAACCTGGCGAGAAGAGCTACACGCAGCGCTGCCGGCTGTTCGTGGGGAATCTGCCTACTGATATCACCGAGGAAGATTTCAAGCGCCTTTTCGAGCGCTACGGGGAGCCTAGCGAGGTCTTCATCAACCGGGACCGTGGCTTTGGCTTCATTCGCCTGGTGAGGATTCGCGCGAGCCCCTGTGGCTGCCCTGTAATCCAGGGGCTGCCTCTGCGAGCGGGAGACTTCTATCCCTTGCTCCCCCCCACCCGCCTTTCCTTGTCGGGCGGGTGTAAGAAAAGACGGCAGCTGCCCCCCGTTCTCTCTCGTTCTCCTTGCGGCTAGCGCTCTTCCCTCCGCTTCCTCTTCATTCGTCCCCCTCCCCTATTTGCCTCCGTACGTCCAAGCCAGAGGCTTCCGTTGTGAGCAGCCTTCCCAGCCCGTCGCGTTTGGGTTCCCACCTCGCTAGGCGGTACTCCGCGGGTTTCAGGGCCGCTCCACCAGTTACGGTGTACGTGCCGCTGCCGCGGGTACTCCTGCAGCCTGTTCAGAGCGTGGAGGATGTGGTTGTGCGATCTGCTTTGTTCGTGTAATACCTGCATAAAGGACTTACCTGATTTAACTGGGAGAATTCATCATACTTTAGGACTAGAAAAAACCCTCTTTGTGTAGAAGCAAGTTTCAGTCTGTACAGTTCATTGTGAATATAGGTTTCGTTTATGAAAAAGAAGTTAAAGACTGGACGGGATTGCTTCGAAATGCCACTGCTCACACATAGCAAAAACAGAGCATGTAATCGCAAAATGGCAAAGAAGTGGGACCTTGGGTTGTTTCAATTACTTGTGTGGGAATAAGACTAGATTTTTAGAGGTGATACAGTATTAGATCAAATATGCTCAAGTGGAGCATGCAAAAAAAGAATCATCTGAAAAGCTTATAATACTGTATTTAAACGTTAATTTAACGTGCAGGATTAGTTTTCATGACTGCCATGCCTAGAATGCACTGATTTGTATCAGTCTGGGAATAGCTGTACAGTGCTTTGCGTGTCTCTAGTTATGATTCTTCCATATGTTTTACTGGTTAGGATTTTTTTTCTTTTTGGTTGTCGTCTTAAAGACAAGTGCTTGTGGCTTTCAGCCATATATTTTTTACCCTGAGAATCCCCGAGCCTGAAATAGCAGTTTTCCGGAGGAAGTGTGATATATTTACATGTCATTACTTAGTTTTGCATGTAATATAGATTATATATAGCTTTTATCTGAACTTCCCTTTTTCATTATGTTTAGGGAATATGTTATTTTTTAACAATTTATGGAGCCAGTTGAGCTGTGGAGAAAATGGCTATGAGAATAGTTTCTTTAATTGTATGAGATTGCGGGTATAAAACTTTGTGAAAATGTCTGAAATCAGAAAAAAAGGCAGTTATTGATGCAGACTGTCTCATGGATATGGGTGCAGAAAGCCCATAAAAGTGAGAAGAATGAATATATGAGCAAAGACGGTAATTTCATCATTTGTTGATGAAATTTGAATTGGACTTCCATTGAGAGTTCATCCAACAGTGCTAATAAGCAGGTGTGGTATTTTCACTTATTACAAACAAAAACCCAAACCAAACCTCAAAACACTTTCAATGCTGCAGTGTAATCTTTGAAAATACTGTTTCCTACCATATGGAGCTAGGATACAGAATATAAACATTTGTGTAAGCAGGTATGAAAAAGTATCAAGTTTTCAACTTTACTGAAAGTCTGTATAGAGCAACCCAAATGTATCTGTTATAATGAGAATTTGTTGAGTCCTCTAATGTGCAACAAAAATTTGCACCTATGTTGTTTTTTAGAATAAATCATAGGGGATGATAAACGCATATTTTTTTCGATAATAAAGTTCCAGGAACTTGGGTTTGTTTTTTTTTTTTGGGGGGGGG